CTTTGCTGAAAACTTGAATGCTGGCTTTACATATTTGCAACAACAAGAGCAAACAGAGTTTGTAAAAATGTTTCTTTATCACTTTTAGTTTGACAACTGAATTGCTTGAGGACAAGCAAATGTTTAAGCTTGGGGGAGTTGATACGTCTTCATCTTATCTACTTTTCCAAATACTTTTGCACTTGTTTTGGACTCTAACTTGCATGATTTGAATGGAACTAACCCGGAGTGACGCTGTTTTCAGCAGAATTGCCATGGTGTGGAGAAATAAAAGTTCTCAGAATGACCTGAAACTTCACAGAGAATATTATTGGAATTAATAAAAAATACTGGCAAAAGAATGAACACCAGGGGGCCCACACCATGTCCACGGGGGTGGGGGTGCGCCCTACCCCCCTAGGCGCGCCCTGCCTCGTGGCCCCCCTGGAGCTCCACCGACCTAAACTCCAACTCCATATATTCACGTTCAGGGAGAAAAAATCGGGGAGAAGGATTCATCGTATTTTACGATACGGAACCGCCGCCAAGCCCTAATCTCTCTCGGGAGAGATGATCTGGAGTCTGTTCGGGGCTCTAGAGAGGGGAATATGTCCCCGTCGTCATCATCAACCATCTCCCATCACCAATTTCATGATGCTCACCGCCGTGCATGAGTAATTCCATCGTAGGCTTGCTGAACGGTGATGGGTTGCATGATATTTGCCATGTAATCAAGTTAGTTTTGTTAGGGTTTGATCACTAGTATCCATTATGTTTTGAGATTGATATTGCTATGATTTTGCTATGCTTAATGCTTGTCACTAGGGCCCGAGTGCCATGATTTCAGATCTGAACCTATTATATTTTCATGAATATATGTGAGTTCTTGATCCTATCTTGCAAGTCAATAGTCACCTACTATGTGTTATGATCCGGCAACCCCGAAGTGACAATAATCGGGACCACTCCCGATGATGACCGTAGTTTGAGGGGTTCATGTATTCACTAAGTGTTAATGCTTTGGTCGGGTACTCTATTAAAAGGAGGCCTTAATATCCCTTAGTTCCAATAGGACCCCGCTGCCACGGGAGGGTAGGACAAAAGATGTCATGCAAATTCCTTTTCATAAGCACGTATGACTATATTCGGAATACATGCCTACATTACATTGATGAACTGGAGCTAGTTCTGTATCACCCTATGTTATAACTATTGCATGAGGAATCACATTCGACATAATTATCTATCGCTGATCAATGCCTACGAGCTTTTTACATATTTATCTTTGCTTAGGTACTTTACCGTTGCCACTGCTACAATTATTACAAAACTGCTACTGTTACTTTTGCCACTGTTACCGTTACTTCCATACTATTTTGCTACTAAATACTTTGCTGCAGATATTAAGTTATCCAGGTGTGGTTGAATTGACAACTCAATTGCTAATACTTGAGAATATTCTTTGGCTCCCCCTTATGTCGAATCAATAAATTTGGATTGAAAACTCTACCCTCGAAAACTGTTGCGATCCCCTATACTTGTGGGTTACTAATCGCCCACACTCACTAGGCGATGATTTCAAATGCCGTCGAGGAAAGGGGTTAAAAACCGTTTGTATAGCACCTCACTATACCAGTGATACCTGATCGACATTTCCTAAATACTTGTTTGGTTTTTTTTTTCTTCTCCATTTTTGTTTGGTTTTTTCTTCTTCTTCATTTTTTCTCTCTCATGCTTGTTTTTGTTTATGGTCTACATTTCGTACATGTCAAAAACATTTTTTTAGTAAGTGATCAACATTTTTTGTACACATGTTCAACATAGTTCGAACTCTTATTCAACATTTTTCAAATAATTGCTCAACATTTTAATACTTATTCAACAATTTTCAAATACTCGTTCAACATTTTTTAATACTTATTCAATATTTTTCAAATACTTGATCAATATTTGAAATACTTATTCAATATTTTTAAAATACTCATTCAACATTTTTCAAATGCTCATTCTATATTATTCAAATACTTGATCAAACATTTTAGTTATTTGTTCAACATTTTTAAAACTCTTGATCAACATTCTTTAATATCTATCCAACATTTTTCAAATACCTGTTCAACATTTTTCTAATTTGTTTTTAAAGAGTGTTTTTGTAATATGTATATTTAAAATATTTTAATGTAAAAAAGAGAAAGCAATAAACGAAAACAAAAAACTTAGAAAAAAATAAAACTGAAAACAGGCTGGTTTCTTGGCCTGGCCTGGCCAGGCCCGGTAGCAGTGTAGGAGCGCAGGGCTCACGGGTCGCCTTCCT